ATACAGTAGATCAAATGTATCTGCCTCACTGATGGATTCTAATTTTGCATAAAGCTGAACCCCTCTTATAATGGGACTTCAAGTTCTTCCATACATAAGCGTCATGACTACCTGAGTAAGTAGTAACTCAAATCCCCAATGGCCGCCTAGACCGATGCCTGCGCACGTGACCGCGCGCCGTCTTCCCCGCGTCCGCCGACGCGCTCGCTTTTCTTATCAAAGGATGGGCTGGCTGGGTCCGGGCTCGATGACGGGAACCCGGCGTACTTGCCAGTGAAAGTGGTTCAACAACTTGATGCGACCAGGCTGCTTGACGGCCCTCTCTGAGACAGCCTCAAGATGTAAGTTCTAACTTTCGAAGAACCTTGCAAGCTTCGCACTTGGTGTATGGATTGTAACTAACCCCGAGTCTATCTGTCTGCAGGTGTAAGTGAAGTGAAGTTGGAAGTGCCGCGGAGCTAGATCTGGAAGCAAGAAGTCTCCGACGCTGACTTCTGCACAGCGAAGATAGATAAGCTTTCGATTTTGGGGTAGGTTTTGTGCTCTTGTCCGGCTTCGGTGTCTTGTTCGCAGGTCACTTTTTTTTTCGACCTTTTTGTTTGGGCTGTTAACTGACTGGATGTTTCTTTGCCTTGATAAGTGTCCGCTCGTTCGACAATACCCGCAGCGAGACTATCCAGTTTCACACGCCGCTTACGTTGATTGTCGGGTATAATGGATCGGGAAAGACGGTATTGCATTTTTCTGTCCAAGGGATTATGGGTTGTTAGGCTGATGTGATGAAAGACGATTATTGAATGTCTCAAGTATGCGACTACCGGTGATCTTCCGCCGAATAGCAAGGGTGGTGCATTCATCCATGATCCGAAGGTACGGGTTTCTAGAATGGACTAGTTGTACGAGAGGGCGACTGCTGACGATAGGGTCAGTTATGCGGCGAAAAGGAGGTGCTGGCGCAGGTCAAGCTGTCCTTCAAAGCGACCTCGGGCGCCAAGATGGTGGCGACGCGGAGTCTCCAGCTGACGGTGAAGAAGACGACGCGGCAGCAGAAGACGCTGGAGGGCCAGCTCCTGATGGTCAAGGACGGCGAGCGGACGGCCATCTCGTCGCGGGTGGCCGAGCTGGACCAGATCCTGCCGCAGTACCTGGGCGTGTCGAGGGCGATCCTCGACTCGGTCATCTTCTGCCACCAGGACGAGAGCCTGTGGCCCATGAGCGAGCCGTCGGTGCTCAAGAAGAAGTTCGACGAGATCTTCGAGGCGATGAAGTACACCAAGGCGATCGACAACATCAAGCAGCTCCGCAAGAAGCAGAACGAGGAGCTGGCCAAGTACAAGATCATGGAGCAGCACGCCAAGGAGGACAAGGAGAAGGCCGACCGCGCCGAGAAGCGCTCCATCAAGCTGCAGGACGAGATCGAGGCCCTGCGCGCCGAGACCCAGCAGCTCTCCCAGGAGATGCGCCGCGTCGCCGACCTGGCGGACAAGGCCTGGAAGGAGTCCGAGAGCTACTCCCAGATCCTGGGCGCGCTGGAGGGCAAGCGCATCGAGGCGAAGAGCATCCAGACGACGCTCGATAACCTGCAAAGACATCTGGTGGAGCTCGACGATTCGGATGAGTGGCTGGAGGCGAATCTGGAGCAGTTCGAGACCAAGCAACTGCAGTACCAGCAGCAGGAGGAATCGCAGAAGGAGAACTACATGGAGATCAAGGAGCAGATCGAGAAAGCACGGCAGAAGCTTGGTCTCAAGCAGGCCGAGTACGGGAAGTTCGAGAACGACAAGGCGAACTTCGAGCGCCAGGTCGAGAGGCGACAGCGCATGACCAGAGAGATTGCGCGGAGCCACAGCATCCGCGGGTTCGATAACGTGGCGGACCAGGCGGATGTCGACGAGTTCATGCGGAGAATTAGGAAGATCCTCAAAGAGCAGAACCAGGTACTGGAGCGAGTCAAGCGGGAGGCACAGAGCGAGCTGCGTGAGGCGCAAAGCTCCCTGAATCAGCTTGGACAACGCAAATCGGCACTGCAGGAAAGTAAGATCGCGGCCAAGCGACAGATGGCTTTGAACGACCGAGATGCGGCTTCCTATCAAGCAAAACTCAATGAGATCAATGTCGATGAGGGCGTGCAGGCTGCGCTGGAGACGAACATTGAAGACATCAATTCTCGCTTGGGTCAGGCCAAGGAACGCTCACGATCCGCTTCGTGGGATAAAGAGATCCAGAACATCAACTCGGAGATTCGCAGTCTCGAGGACGAAAGCTCCCGCCTGAACACCGAACTCATCGAGGCCACTAAGAAGGCTGGTGATCTCGCCCGGTTGGACCACCTTAAGAAGGAACTGAAGGAAAGGGAGCGCAGTCTGGAAACCATGAAAGGGGCTCATGGCGAACGACTCTCCAAATATGTCAAACCCACTTGGAGCGCCGAAACCCTGGAGCAAGACTTCAACCATGTTCTAGAAGAAGAGTCAAGACACGTCTCGAAGGCGGAGCGTGAACGCGACGGCGTCAGCCGCGAGCTGGAACAAGTAGAGTTCAAGCTGAAAGAAGCGAAGAAAGCCTTGTGTCAGCGGCAGAAAGAACTCAAGGAGAGCGTCACAGAAATCCGTGAAGCCATTGGCGAAGAACCCGAGGAATATCTTGAGATCGTCAAAGAGCGGCAGATCCAGCTTGATCTTGCGCGGAAAGATACGGAGCAGTTTGCTGGCATCAGCACGTACATGAAAGACTGTCTTGCCACGGCGAAGTCAACGAAAGTTTGCCGGCTGTGCCAGCGAGGATTCGAAGCAGACAGACAATTGCAGATCTTCATCAATAAACTTGAGGGCTTGGTCAAGCGAAACCAACGTAATGCTGAAGACGAGGATATCCGACAATTGGAAGAAGACCTCAACACTGCGCGAGAAGCTATCACGGCCTACAACACGTGGACTCGACTGAAGGAAACTGAAATCCCGAGTCTGGAGAAGGAAGAGGAGCAATATGTTCTCCAACAGGACAAGCTCCTCAATCAACTGGAGGAACACGATCAGATGCTTAGCGAGAAGACCGAGAAGAAGAAAGAGGTCGAAGCACTTTCCAAAACCGTCAGCACTATCGTCAAGTATGACAGCGAAATCAGGTCTATCCGCTCTCAGATACAAGAACTCTCTTCAAAGCAAGATGACAACACTGGTTCACGCACCCTGGAGGATATTCAGGAAGAAATTGCTGGGATTGGCGAGCGGTCCCGCGCTCTGAAAAAGACATTGTCAAAAGTCACCCATGATAAGGAGCAGGCGTTAGCGGAGATCAACAATCTGGAATTGCAGCTCAGAGATGCTAAGAGCAACCTAGATAACGCCAAGTTCCAGCTCGAACGGAAGGCAGATCTTCTCACTCGCCTGGCAGAGTTCAAGAACCTCAACAATGAACAGCGTGCCGCGATCGCGAAGGCGGACAAGGACATTGAGGAACTCACTCCTGAACTACTCAAGATCCAAGCCCAAGTCGATGACATCAGTCAACGCGCCGAGGCTCGCGAAAGGGAATTGCAGCAAGGAATTTCCCAACTGTCCGATAGCGTACACCAGCTGGAAATCGCAAACGAGGAGATAGAAGCCTATAACGAGCGAGGAGGTCCCACTCAGCTCGAGCGAAGCAAACGAGAACTCCAAGCCATCGAGAACGAGATCAGCGAGCTTGAATACGAACAGGCCACGATCACGAAAGAGATCAACCGAATCTCAGCCCAGCTCAAAGACAGCGAAAATACCAAGCGCCAATACGCCGACAACCTGACGTACCGCCAGGCGACCCGGGCCCTGGACAAAGTCAATGCGGAGATCGAGCAACTCGCCGCGCAGAACGCCGAGGTCGACCGCAGCCGCTTCAAGGAGGAATCGGAGCGCCGCACGCGCGAGCACAACGCCCTGGCCGCCAAGCAAGCGAGCAAGATGGGCGAGATGAAGTCCAAGGACGACCAGCTGATGCAGCTGCTCGCCGACTGGGACACGGACTACAAGAACGCAGCGAGCAAGTACAAGGAGGCGCACATCAAGGTGGAGACGACGCGCGCGGCGGTCGACGACCTGGCGCGCTACGGCGGCGCCCTCGACAAGGCCATCATGAAGTACCACGGCCTGAAGATGGAGGAGATCAACGCCATCGTCGGCGAGCTCTGGCAGAAGACCTACCGCGGCACGGACGTCGACACCATCCTCATCCGCTCCGACAACGAGAACGCCAAGGGCAACCGCTCGTACAACTACCGCGTCTGCATGGTCAAGCAGGGCGCCGAGATGGACATGCGCGGCCGCTGCAGCGCCGGCCAGAAGGTGCTGGCCAGCATCATCATCCGCCTCGCCCTGGCCGAGTGCTTCGGCGTCAACTGCGGCCTCATCGCCCTCGACGAGCCCACCACCAATCTCGACCGCGACAACATCCGCTCGCTGGCCGAGTCCCTCCACGACATCATCCGCACGCGCCAGCAGCAGGCCAACTTCCAGCTGATCGTCATCACCCACGACGAAGAGTTCCTGCGTCACATGCAGTGCGGCGATTTCAGCGATTACTATTACCGGGTTTCACGGAACGAGCGCCAGAAGTCCATCATTGAGCGCCAGTCGATCGCTGAGGTATGCTGCAATGCCCATCCATGGTACGACGATTCAATGCTAACGGGTGTCTGCAGGTTATGTGATTGTGACTTTATGTCGCTGGCTGCCTGCGGGCCGATTCGAGGCTCTTATGCATGGCGTGGTTTTTACGAGGATAGGGGATGTTCATCCTATCAAGGATCAAAAGTGGTACAGTCCACATTAGCCTACTTCATGTACTGTACATCATGCACAAATATCAGCAGAAAGCATACGCCGGCGTTTAGGGGGGGGGGAAACTGCAGTTCAACTACATTATTAGTATCTCCTTCACACTATCCTGTCGTTCAAGACCGCTAGATAAAGACACAAGCTACAATGGGGAAAACGACTCATTTCTAAACTCTAAAGGACCTCTGCGTCATCATCCAACAACGGCACGAACCGGAAGTCTACGAAACTGACCACAGGCGCCAAACCCCCTCTAGCCGACAACCTCGCCCCACTGGTGCCAGCATGGACATCGGACTCGATCATGAACTGCAAGCTCAGCACCCCCTGCCGATCGCCCCGGATACTGACCTTATTCGCCACGGCCATCGCGCGGCTCGCTTTCTGGATCGCCTTGAACCTGTAATCCTGTCGGATGTGCTGCGACCCCCCCGACGATGACGAGGAGGGCGGACTGACCAGAAATGTCTCGGTGACAGTCGGGGCGAGGCGGGCTCGTTTCGCGCGGGAGGCACCCTCATCATTATCCTCACGGGGAGCGGCACCGGATGCGGTGGGGGGCTGATTCTCGACGGAGAACTCGACGGAGGACTCGCTGAACGAGCCGCCGGCGCCGGCCAACGCGAGGAACGGCTCGTGGGTCGCGGAGGCCGAGATTTTGAGGACGGTCGGGTCCGTGGCTGCCAGCTCGGTGATGGCGTTGTGGAGCCAGGCCGATCGCATGATGATCTTCATAATGATCGCGTCGCGTTGCAAGGGGATCTCGATCTCGCCACCTTCGGGCTCGTATGTGGTTAATTCGCAGGTGGTCTGGATGCCGGTCTCGGTGAGCGTGACGCTCAAGGGGCTGCCTTCTGTGGCGTAGCGGAGGGTGCACGAGCGGTCGAGGAGGAGGGCTGGCGTGGTGAAGGCGCTGTGGGAAGGGGCCGGTTGCACGCTGCCGGCGCGGGAGGAGCCGCTGCCGCCGGATGTGGAGTTGTCGTTGATGCCGAGGATCTTGAGCGTTTCGAGAAGGGCGGTGAGCGAGACTTCGAAGCACGGGTAGTAGGAGGTTGGGTCGTCGGTGGAGGGGGGCCCGGTGTCATCATGGTTGCTATGCTCGTCGGTGGGGGTGCGAGCTGCGGCTGGTGGTGGATTGAAGGTGTAACTGGTGAAGAGGGCCTTGTCGAGGAATGCAAGCCCCTGCACCGTTCGGGTTTCTTCCACGGAGAAGCGGATGCCGTCGGGCGTGAGTTGCACGGTGGCCTTGGGCGCGAATCCGATGCATTGGAGGAGGGTGTAGAGGTGGTGGGCGTTGCTGGAGACCGCGGTGAAGATGGGTTCCACGTCCGCCATGGTTTTCTGGCTCGGACTGAGCGTGGCGGCAGCGGTACGATGCGTGTGGAATAGGTTATATGAGGATTGCAATGAGGGAGGGAGAGAGAGAGAGAGAGAAACAAAGGTGGTGTAGATATATGCTTCGTTTTTTTGGTTTTCAACTTTCCAGGATATGGTACATGGGTATCAGAGGAGGTAACTGGAACTTTAAACGTAAACTCCAACGGCACAGATCATATAGACGGCTCCGAAGCTGTTCCACGGACGTTAGTCATGGCCGATTTGGTGGGACCGCGGGCGTGTTTCTTACCCAAACGCCAGCGATGCTGGGACGCCGAACAGGGCAATGCTGGTGAATGAACGGTCTGGTCAATCGGTAAGCACATGGCGAGAATAAGGTCAAATTCGAATCTTAATGGGTCGGTCACTGACTCAATCCAAAGAGACCAGTAAGTATGAAGGCTAGTGGGTTGAAAGGTCAGTAACCGGACAGTATAATAGCGACAAGAGGCAGGTTGAGCTCACCAGCAAGCAGGAGACTAAAGCCGACGAAGAACTGGCTATCTTTCGCGATAAGGGGAGAATAAGGGCTCGCAGAAGCTGCCTCCCAGACTTGGTTCAGAGACATTGAGGCGTGACGAACAAGAACAATTTGGTAGAGAAAGGCTTTGTTAGGCAAGAGAAACGCTTCACAAAATGAAACAGAAGAGAAGATTGCTTTGATATAAAGTCCTAGCAACGTAACTAGTTCGCTGTTGTCGTAATCATCGAAATGGTTATCTGGCTTAACTGCGCCGGATCAATATAGTTCCAGACCGTTTCCCCCCCCCCCCGTATCGGCAGCAGGTGGAGAGGCCGAGAGGGACGCCCGCGCGCTATTTGCCTCAGCTCCACGTCAAGTCAGTCAGTCGCTCGTTCAGAATCTCCCTTCCTGAAAACAGTCGCAATTCACATTATGCCCGCACTTACATCAGAGAGTGAGTTGAAGCTCGCGGTCAGGCAGCTGGAATCGTTACTAAATTAGGTTGAGGTCCAGGTACCAAGCGGAAAGCTTCGGAGGAGGCCCTTTCCCCAGATTCGCAGCAACGGAGCAAGAAAGCGCGCACCGATTCTCCGGGGGAGGAGCTTAAGGTGGGCATATCAAAACTGGAATGTTAGGGTGATGATTGGAACACTGTACTAATCTCTTCGGCGTTCAGACAGAAGATGAACCCCTCGATAAGCCGCCCATGAGGATTGTCCCGTTCCCGGAGAAGGTAAGCTTGCGCAGCACCTCCGCCCCGGCTATGGATGAGACTAACAACTCCAACTCATAACAGCCGGCCGTACTCGAAGAGCGTCGTGGTGAGATTGAGTTTCGTGTGGTCAACAACGATGGCTCGCGCGACAGTTTCGTCGTCCTCACCGGCCTCAAGTGTATCTTCCAGAAACAACTCCCCAAAATGCCCAAGGACTATATCGCGCGCTTAGTCTACGACCGGTCGCATCTGTCTATCGCAATCGTCAAGCATCCCCTGGAAGTGGTCGGGTGCGTATATGTGTGATGGGAAGGTAACTGGGGTATTGGGCTGGGCTAATGGGGCATACAGAGGCATCACATACCGTCCGTTCAACAGTCGCCGCTTTGCCGAGATCGTCTTCTGTGCCATCTCTTCTGACCAGCAAGTCAAAGGATATGGTGCGCATCTCATGTCCCATTTGAAGGTCAGCATGCAAGCTTCCTGGTGGGGGAAGACAGCTATTGACGAGTTTTTTTTATACAGGATTACGTCAAGGCGACATCGGACATCATGCATTTTTTAACCTACGCTGATAACTACGCTATCGGATACTTCAAGAAGCAGGGTTTCACTAAAGAAATCACGCTGGATAAGTCTGTCTGGATGGGATACATCAAGGATTACGAGGGAGGAACAATCATGCAGTGTACCATGCTGCCCACGATACGCTATCTCGAGGTTGGCCGCATGCTTCTCAAACAGAAGGAGGCGGTCCATGCGAAGATCCGGGCGTTCAGTCGGTCACACATCATCCATGCGCCCCCCAAGGAGTGGAAGAACGGAGCATGCAAGATCGATCCCTTGCTGATCCCAGCTATCAAAGAGTCGGGATGGTCGCCCGATATGGACGAGTTGGCCCGCCAGCCCCGCCACGGGCCGAACTACAATCAACTTCTGCATCTGCTCAATGACATGCAGAACCACAGTGCCGCGTGGCCGTTCACACAACCGGTCAACCGAGACGAAGTGCCGGATTACTATGAAGTCATCAAAGAACCCATGGACCTGTCGACGATGGAGGAGAAACACGAGAAGGATATGTACCCGACGCCGCAAGACTTCATCAAGGATGCCATGTTGATCTTCGACAACTGCCGAAGGTACAACAACGAGAACACGCCGTATGCCAAGAGTGCCAACAAGCTGGAGAAGTTCATGTGGCAGCAGATACGAAACATTCCGGAGTGGTCGGTAAGTACTAGTCTCCTTCCCTGGATCTTGCATGGGCTACGGACACTCGGGCGCTGACATCCCTCTAGCATTTGGCCGAGAATCACTGAACAGGTGGTTGTGTAGTCTTTTGGTGCGTAGGCGTTGCTAATTGGCGTTTGGTTCTGTGTGTGTGTGTGATGAACGAATACCCAAAGTTATGAGAACATGGAGCGTTGCTTTCTCTTGCACTTTTCTTCTTGTTCTTCTGGTTGAACGTGGACATAATTCACAGTAGGGATAGTCTAATAAACCTTGATGGCCCCGTCGCTGTGTTTCTGTGTCTTGCGAATAGGATGGTCATATTCATGCAATATGATGGTATCGATGCGTAAGCAGGGCGAGATCAAAAAGTACTTTCGAACCCTTTCATTTCGACCCAACACATACCTCTCGTGCTAGAAAGAAAGCACCTACGACTTCTTCCCCAAGATCCGCTTTGGATGTCGGGCCCCGGCCACTCCTGACCCCGCCGCTCTCCCGAAGCCGGACCCTTCGTCAATGTCCATCCTTGACCCCCCTAAAGCCTGAATACTATCGTAGTCATTGCCATGTTCCCAATACCCGTCATCATCATCCAGTTCGTCCGCACTAAACTCGCGCTTGTTGCCGCCGAGGCCGCCACCTCGGAAGGCCTGCTGCTGCTGGCTCCAGTGTTTCCGCGCCCCGCCGGCCGCGCTTCCCTCGCCTCCACCGGCAGCACTAGCGGCCTCCGCCCGGTACGCGGCCAGCGTCTGCTCAAAGATCAGGTTACGCTCGTGCTCCTTGGCCCGCCGCTTCGCCGACTCAGATTTGATCTTGGCGATCTCGGCCTCGATGTCGCTGATGACGTCGCCGCAGCGCGTCTCCCATTGCGTAAGGATGGTGATCATGCTGGAGAGCGACTGAGGCTTGACGTCGCGGAGCGGGGCGATGGCGGTGACGTTGACGGCCGGAGGGGTCGAGGCCGGCGAGAGGCGGGCGGTGATCAGGGAGGAGTAGATGGCGGTTGTGACGAGGGATTCGAGGTCGGCGGGGGCGGTGATGGAGAGAGCGCCCATGAGGGCGGTGTAGGTGAGGGGTTGGATGGTGGAGGAGAGGGTGAGGAGGGTGAGGAGGCGGAGTTTGAGAGTCTGGGCCGGGCTGAGAGCGGGCAGGTTGGGTGTTTCTGTGAGAGTGATTGAGTGTGCTGAGCATTGTGTTTGCGTTGTGTTGCCACGGTTTGGGAAGGAGATATGTTAGAGAAAACTCACCTTGGTAGTCTTGCCATGTGCCCCAGGCGAAGATCTCGAGCAACGTCAGGTAGCTCTGGTATTCTGCAGGGGTGTCCGGGGAGCGGAGGGCTTGGACGGCCGCGGTCTCCAGGAGCTCTGCGAAGACGAACGTATGTGGGTTGGAGGTTACATTTGTGATGATATTGGCGACAAAGCGCGGAGAGTTGGCGCTGGACGAATTGGCAAGAGCGATGAACGGCTGGAGAGCCTCGATGGCCCGGGTGTGGATTTGGTCCATGCTTGCTGTCTGTCGGCCACCTGGAATACGATGGCTCGATATCACACTCGTTCGATTGCCTTGGCTGTCTAGGCCGGTTGTGATGAATTCAAGAAGCTGAAGGTAAGCCTCAGATGGTTGCGTCTGCAGTTTCTGCAAGCGCTGATAAGCAGTTAGAGTGGAAAATCAGCTCGGAGGTGCCGGTAATTGTCGGCGGTCGGTGGGATGAATCGTTGAATCGATGACCGATGCTGGGATGGATGTTATGGCGGTGTTTGCCTGCGATGCAAACATGGTGGGAGTGACATCCGGCCATGTGATTCCGGGACTCTACAAACAGGCATCCAACCTAATGGACTCTACTTTCGGCTCTCCAATTTGCTATCGTTCTTGTCAGGACTGCCTCGGAGTCGCTCGCTTCAATGGGCGTTTCGACTGAGGTGAGGCTCTGGTCGACTTTCATCTATTGAGAACCACTGCAATCTCAAGTCTGGAACCATTCCAGGAGCTACAGCTCTATAGTTGAAACGTCAGAGCCACCCGATGTTTCAACCCCAGAACCCTTCCACTGTCTTTTCTTGACAGCTAAGCATGACAGGTTGTCTAGATCTAACGGTCTCGATACTTGAAAACGTTCGCAAAAGCACAATATCATTCAAGGTGACCCGGGTGTCTCAGCCAAGTCTGCACACAGCATTGTTCCTCTTTCAACGAGGTGGGGTTCGCATGTCTTACACCTAGCTACCTGGTCTGCGGAGTCCGACGGCCGCCAGACGATCTCTCGTTACGCAATGATGATACCCAGTTCGAGATACAACAAGACCTGGTGGTGTTGAGCTCCTCCAGGTGCTCGGATCGCCTGATGACTGGTTGTCAAGTCTGCTTCTGAATTCAAAGAGACCTGATTCCAGAAACGGAATACTCCTTGCTGACTGGCATGCAGGGCTAATCATGACCATTCTTCGTGTTCCGGGATGAGACTTGTCTGGCCAGCCTGCAGCCTGCAGCCTCGGTTGTTCAAATCATATCGAAATCCAGACTTTGAACGGAGGTTGAATCGAACGGAATACAGATGATGGTTCATGGATTGATAATAGTTTTGTACTCATATGTACGTAGCAGAGCCGACTGCCGACGACGATACAGTACACGAATGGGCGTAGAGCATGGGGACTTTTCACACGTAAGCGGGGCCGGGCATTCCTTGAAAGTGGAGAGAAGTCGGAGGTAATTTTCCTCGATCAACTCACCAAGTGGGTTTCTCCATTGGATTCTCTTATTGTTATTGTCCAGAACAATCAAGAAAGGGAAAGAAGGACAAAAAAGAAATAAGAAAAAGAAAAAAGGAAAAAGAAAAAAGAAGAAAACAACGTGGGCCACTTTTCCCACTCTTTGTTCAATCCCTAACCGGCGTTGATTGCCTACCCTGGCATTCCTTTGCGAGACGATTGTTATGCTATCATTCTGTTAGTCTATTGAGTGATGGATTCGGGCTGACTGCACTCTGCAGCGCCCGGTCGTCTTCTTCAACTGGAAATCCCAAATCTGTCTCTTCCGGCCCCATCCGGTCTTTGCACAGGCTAGGTCCATTATTGGTACTACTTTCTTAGTCTCAATATAAATCCATCTTATTATTACATGATCAATAGCCAAGTCTCCAGCGATCCTTGCATGACAACCTGCGGTTCCCTCCGTTACTGCTAGTCTAGCTACTCATTCATATATTACCCTTCCGAACACCCGCTCCGTCAGCAATCCATCCCCCTCCCGTCTAACCCACGTTCTTATGCGATAATACTGCCGCCAGCCGACAATCTTTCTTCGCCTGGTCGTCACCACCAACCACCAAATCCGTGCGACATGGCGGCCTCATCAACCGCCTTGCTCCGCGACGGAGACCATGGCTCTCTCAACGATCGATCGCCCGCTCATATGGCTACCACTACGGTTAGTGTGGAGGGTATGACGTGTGGCGCCTGCACCTCCGCTGTCGAAGGGGCCTTCAAGGGAGTGGAAGGCGCCGGCGAGGTGACCGTGAGCTTGATGATGGGCCGCGCCGTTGTGCACCACGATCCGAGCTTGCTCCCACCGGAGAAGGTCGCCGAAATTATCGATGATAGCGGTTTTGACGCCAAGGTCATCTCCACGGACAGCTCAATCCTACCGACCGAAAGCACGGCGAAATCCTCCATATCAACCACGACACTGGCAGTGGAAGGCATGACTTGTGGCGCTTGCACCTCCGCGGTCGAAGGAGGATTGAACGAGGCATCGGGTGTTCGTTCAGTCAGCGTGTCTCTACTCTCGGAGCGCGCCGTTGTCGAACACGATGCCTCGGTCATCACCCCGGATCAAATTGCAGAGCTGATTGAAGATCGTGGCTTTAGTGCAAAGGTGCTGGAAACCTCCACGGCTCAGGATAGCTCTCAATCTTTGCAGGACTTGACGGGATCAAAATCCTCTCTGATGGTCACCACGGTATCTATAGACGGCATGACATGCGGTGCATGCACCGCGAGCATACAAAATGCGTTTAATGGAGTGGATGGATTGGTGCAGTTCAACATCAGTTTACTTGCGGAACGAGCGATTCTTGTTCACGACCCGTCTGTTCTACCAATTCAGAGGATTCTCAATACTATCGACGATGCGGGTTTCGATACAGCCCTAGTATCTTCCGAAGCGCAAAACCTCTCGTCGAAGGGTGTCGGCCAAGTTACCCTCAGTCTTCACGGTGTGCGCGATGCTGCCTCGGCAACGTGCTTGGAGGATGACCTCCTCCAAAAGCCTGGCGTGTCTTCGGCCTCCGTGGACATGAGTTCCTCCCGAATCAAAGTATCCTTCGATTCCTCCATGCTCGGTATTCGATCGATCGTCGAAGCTATTGAGGCAGCTGGATACAATGCCTTGGTGTTGCAGTCAGATGACACGAATGCGCAACTCGATTCGCTCTCGAAAACCAAGGAGGTTCAGGAGTGGAAACGCGCGTTCCTCTTCTCCGCCTCATTCGCCGTCCCGGTATTCCTCATCAACATGGTTCTACCCATGTACCTTCCCGCACTTGATTTCGGTCGTGTCCCGCTCTTTTGCGGTCTCTACTTGGGTGACGTCGCTTGCCTTTTACTTACTGTCCCTGTTCAGTTCGGCATTGGAAAGCGCTTTTATGTGGCCAGCTATAAATCTCTGAAACATCGGTCACCGACCATGGATGTTTTGGTCATGCTGGGTACATCCGCGGCATTTTTCTACAGCATTTTCACCATGATCGTCGCGATGTTTTCGGGTGGTCACTCGAGACCTAGCACGGTCTTTGACACAAGCACGATGCTTCTCACATTTATCACGCTGGGAAGATGGTTGGAGAACAGAGCTAAAGGTCAAACTTCGGCTGCACTTTCGCGACTCATGTCCTTGGCGCCTTCAATGACTACTATCTACGATGACCCTATTGCGGCAGAGAAAATGGCTGAGCAGTGGGATATCAAGACCTCACCATCGGAGGACAGACAGTCGGATCCCGCAGCACATGAGACCTCGGGCCCTGGGCAAAAACTGATCCCTACTGAGCTCATCGAAGTTGGGGACATCGTGATGCTCCACCCCGGAGATAAAGTCTCGGCAGATGGTATCGTCATTCGCGGCGAAAGCTATGTCGATGAAAGTATGATCACGGGTGAAGCCCTTCCTATCCACAAATCCAAGGGC